ATTTGAATTAATTTTTGTATCTGGTATTAAGGTAAAGGTCCAACTTCATACTTTTGCATGTAAATAAACAATTTTCCCAGTACCATTTGTTGAAGAGACTATCCTTTCCCAATTGTGTAGTGTTTATATTTTTGTCAAAGATCAGTTGACCATATATACAAGGGTTTATTTCTGCATTCTCTATTCTCTTTTATTGGTCTATATATGTCTTTAGGTCAACAGTATCAGCTAATTAAAACCAAAAATAGACATAGAAAAGAACTAGCAAAGAGAAAGGCGGAACAATAAAATTAAAACACTTTTAAAATATGGAGGAGAATCAATATGATAAACCAAAGTCCATTATAGACTCAATATAATTACAAAAATAGAGACAACTAAGTCATAAGACAAATATTTTTGAAGCACTTGCTGTTGTTCCCAGAATACTAAGTAGGAATAATATGGTGGCACTGGGATAGAATTCAAGCAGTCTTTCTCTACAGCCTGCATTTGAAATGCTATGCTTTACACTTTGATATTAGTTTTGCCACTTACTAGCTTCTTAACTACAAGTTACTTAATCTCTCTCTGGCTCCATTTCCTCCTCTGTGTGTGTGTGTGTGTATGTGTGTGTGTGTGTGTGTGTGTGAGAGAGAGAGAGAGAGAGAGGGAGAGAGGGAGGGAGGGAGAGAGAGAGAGAATTTGGGGTTTGATTTAGTTAGCACCCTAAAGCATTTATTACTAGGCAAACATAGGTACACAATAAATATTGGATCTTAGTAGCTTGGTTTGATGAAAGAAATGTTTTTCCTCCAGTCAGATGAAGGTATTTAGGCCTCAGATCAACTTTTTATAAGTTGCTGGTTTAGGCAAACCTGTGAGATTTCCTTTCATAATCTGTACAATGGGAATGCAGTTACATCATAGAGTTTTTAAATGAAATAATACATGTGGGAATACTTAGTAAGAAATCACAATTTCATCATCAAATGTTTTAATCCTCCTTTAGGGGTAATGTTTGACTCTCACTGTACATAAATAATAAAATAGTTCTACTTATTTTTTTTTTGGAGGGGGTATGAATATTGACATTACAAAAACTAATACTAGACAAGGAAAATAACTTAGCCAGGTATATAAATTATTTAGTATGATTTGTTATATGGTAATTTACCATGACATTTCCTTCTCCTTAGAAAAAATATTCCAAAATAAAAATATAATATTGAAACAAAAACTAGATTATTGAAAAGAATAAGACAAGGCTAATATGTAGTGCTACTGGTGACACAATTTTCTGAAGTTAATTATAATACTATCAAATGTATTGATTTATAGTCCAAAATGCAGTTACATAGGTAACAACCCATATATTTGGAAATTGAGTTTTGCTTGCAAATAAAATAAGGGTAAGAAAATGAAAAGTTGATGATGAACAAATTAGATTGAACTTTCATGTACTTTAAAAACGTATAAAAGGATTAGAACAAGGTATTTTTTATATGATACAACTTCAGAATACAAGGCATATAATACCTGGGAGACTAGGGATTTGATTTATTCAACATTAAAAATGTCACTAAAGAAATCTTAACCAAGAGATTTCAGTCTTTTAAGAATTGAAAAAATAAAACATTTGAGCTTGTTGTGTAGAACATATTTTAGTTTTACATGGGATTTAAATATGTAAGTTTAGAGGTGTTTTTTTTAGGAAAATAGAAATGTATATTGATGGCATAAATCTGTTTTTCTCTGGAGAACTCCATTAATTTGAGTCAGTCTGTTTCAACACACTCAACCACGAATGCCTTCAAACAATCAAATGTTCTGTGAAAATGAAGTGGCAATTGGAGTAAAGTTTGTTGATGTTAAAAAAAAAAAAAAGGGAACATCCCAGTTCATGGAAGGCCAGTCCAGGTTTTAAACACTGAGTTTCAAATACTGAGAGGGACCCTCATAAACGGAAAGATGGTCTATAAGGATGTTAAGGATGAGGGTAGTATAAGAAAAAAATGATGAAGTGGAACGTGTTTTAAATCGACCAAAAAAAAAAAAAAAAAAAAAAAAAAAAAAAAAAAAAAAAAAAAAAAAAAAAAAAAA